AATAATAGGTCATTATTCATTTATTGGCAAAATAATAAAATGAAATTACTTTTCAATTATTAGACATCTCATTTCTGTTCAGAGAACCTGTGATATATCTGAATTGAAGCCTGAGAATTTTTTGACACAGATAAAAAACAAAAGAAAGAAATATAAGAGAAAGCATGATTTCCATACTTAATCTGATAAATTTGCGCTCCAAAAATTATTTTTGTTGACTGAAAAATCTAGAAGTAAATGATTTTCTAAGCTGATCTGCACAGATTTGTGTGAGTCTTCACAAGTTCATATTTGACTACTATGCAAAAAAATAACTTAATATAATATCCCATGATTTTAAAGTCTATAACACTTCTGCCTTTCTGAAGGCACTTTATAATTCTGTGATTAAAATCACATTTTCTGAAAGTCCCTTACAGCTTAAGGGTATAAACTACACATTAAAATATTCATATTCCAATTAAATACAGTAAAATTACTGTCATAAATATAACCTGACAGCATGCATGAACAACCAATAAATGGTCAAAGTAAATCTTTGAAACCTTTAATATTTTAAAACTTTAATTTCCCCAAATCTGCACGAGTGTGCCCAGCACTTGATGAAGATCTGAGCATAAAGCAGGAAATCGACTGGTTTGAATGCATACTGTCAAAGTTATATGAAAGGGTTAAAGGCCTCATGCATTGACTTTCCCTGTTCTCCAGATAAAAAGCGGAAAGAATCTCTGGGGAAGATTGTATGCCGTCTACAGATGAACATCTGAGCATAAAGCAGGAAATCGACTGGTTTGAATGCATACTGTCAAAGTTATATGAAAGGGTTAAAGGTCTCATGCATTGACTTTCCCTGTTCTCCAGATAAAAAGCGGAAAGAAGCTAATTTTGATAAATCACTCAGAGTCTCATCCCTAGTTTGAAGACTTTAATTGCACTGGGCGTTTATGACCCAGCGCGTCTCTTTAAGCAGCTCATCTGCACATGCAGCATATCTCTGAGGACACACAAACCAACACCGACGGAGGGACAGTCATTTTCAGCCCACAGTGTAAGCATTTTATTGTAATTGAGTCACTGTTGTTGTATCAAGGGGCGACAGATAATTGGACAGTCAGCTTAACATGGCTAGTTGTCGGTAATTTGAGCATTTGATTGCTTTTTCTTGTTATCTCTCAAGTGAGCAGTGAAGTGCCACGAAACAACTCGCACATATTATTTAGCGGTTACAGTATCACCAATCACTGCTGCAGGACTTTGCAAATCAATTATGAGTGAAAAGAACCTATGCCGAATAAGTCTAAATTAGCTACTATGCTAGGCTATAGCCATTCCTTTTGTGATGATCTCGGTCAAAAGTATTGAGGGGATGCCGTCAGTTTTTAAATGGCTTTAGCTCCAGAAGTAAAATCTTTCATAAAAGTGTCAAATGTAGCTGTGTTAAAGTTCAGTAGCCTACAGTAATACACTACTGCCCTCATCTGGATATCGCTGCGTTTGTAACAGAAGCGCTAACTTACTGAGTGCAGTTATTTTACCAGGCAGTGAATAACATACTCTCATAGTAGCCTTCAAAAAGAAAAAGTGGGATTTTTTTTCGTACAAATAGGTTCCGTTTACTTTATCTGTATCCCGAGGGAAAATAAAATCGTTTGCAAATGGTTTAATTTTGCCCAGACACTAATTAGACAAAAAGCAGCAGCATTAATCATCTGTCTGTGTTCAGAAAGCCCCCTAAGCACAGTTCCCAGCATTAGACTCGATTGTGTTTACCCTAGTTTATAAATTGTTTCAGTATTACGGGGGTGGTTGATGATCAACATTAATTAAATTATTGGAGGCTGAGGTCTGTCTGTAGGTTTAAGACAGTTTTCATTGTGTTATTGTCGTGTTGAATGATCGTATGGCTTGTTGAACAGCGCCACCTGCTGATATTAAGAGTAGCCTACAGGCAGCACTGCCAAACACTGAAAACAAACAAACACCTGAACTCTTTCTGTGGCATATTTGTTTAATCTCCGAGTACATTTATCAAAAACAAGATTGTAGTCATGTGATTAAAACATGTCAGGTGTATTACCACTGAAAAGTATGTGATTTTACTGCTTTGAGGTTTAACAGAAGGTAGAGAAGTGAACACTGGCTATAGTGTTTTCTGCATGGCTTTTGAAAACAGAATGAATTTACATAATAAAATGTGTAGTTTAAAAATATATAATGTAAAACCTGCAGTGACGATCCACTAAATGTGTCAGAAATTGTTAAATATTAATGCATCTTTATAATATTAATGCATTTTTTATTCCAGTGAGGAAAAGTGCTAAATAAATAAATAATGAATTAATGAATACTGGCATGACAAAATTATTGTACAAACTTGGTTTATTTTTCCGATCATCCTTAAAGTTTAAAGCTTAAAGTTTTCATGTTGCATTCATCTGACTTGGCAAATACCTTCAAAACGGCCCTGTTTCTAACTGATCAGGTTTTTCAGTATGCCCAGTGAACACATCTGACTGCAATTCCTCCTAAAGCCTTTAAGTCAGATTCAGCAAACTTGGTACAGAGCTTCAGCCTGTTCAGATTTTGTGTGCTGTTTTCGCAGGTGTCAGACTTATATGTAACTTCATTGTAACAAGTGTTGGGCAGTAACTAGTTACTGTAATAATATTACTTTTTGCAGTAACTAGTGTAACTAATTACTAATAAGATTTCAGTAATAATGTTACAGTTACCCTCCATAAAACAGCTAGTTATGCCTCAAACCCTACTGATTTGAAATCCAATAATTCCTAGATTTATTTTCAAAAATGTCAAGACTCTCACAGGCACATGAAGTCACCAGTGCATCAGGAAAGCTTGGAATATGGAAAAACTTACATTCAGGGGATGGAAATATTGCCATTACACTGATTTTGTCACGAGATAAGCTGATCTGAACACAGATGTGTAAGTTGTGGCGTTACTTTACTCTGGCATTACATGGCTTGCCCACCCACATCCCTCTGATCCCGATATAAATTATAGTACTACAATTAAAAATCTTATGAACTTATGTTATTTCTTTTGATAAAATACTTCATGAAATATAATCATATTTGGGCAACAGAGAAATTATAGCTAATTAGCTACACATGAAAATTAATACAACACTTTTACTTAAAAGTCACTATCAGTCACCATAGAGTGTTTGTAATAACTTCTGACTGCGATCCAATGTAGATTTTGGTCAAATTATGAGGCAGAAATAAACACTTTAGAAGAATTTTATGGGGAAGATACACAATTACAACTTCTGTGGGGCGTGAAGGAAAAGTAATGTAACTAGTAACTAATTACTGTTGCCAGATAGTAATAAGTAACGTAATAATATTACTTTTGAAAGGAGTAACTAGTAAGGAGTAATAAATTACATTTTTGGTGTAACGAGCCCAACACTGATTGTAACTTGCAAAGTTTTGGCAAGCCAGTATTTAGTTTGTCTTGAACCACCTAGACATTTTTAATACTTAGATCTCACACATCTAAATAAGTAACAGCTGAATTCGCTTACAGCAACTTTAAATTACTGCTCATTTATTTTGTTGTTGTTGTCATGTCTTTAGTCCAAACAGTGTGATTTGGTCAGTGTCTTGTCTTGTAGAGGGCGCACATGTTCGGTCGATGGGCGGAGAGCCTCTTTTAAACCATAGGAGGGAGAATTTACCCGCTTTCTCCAGGAACAAGCAGAAGAGACTCAGCTCTTATTATAACAATGGCCAAATTACAGTCCGCTACAATGATTTACCAGGACGGCATACCAGGTAATCTGAACTTTAACAAGGGTCTTAAATGTGCAGTTTTTTAGTTGTTCTGCAGCATGTTAGCAGGTTTGGTGGTCTGTGCTGTAACGTTACAAGGCTATGTGTTGGCCTGCTAAACACGTGCTCTGCACCATGTCTTGTAGATTATGGTGTAATATCATAAACGACTTGGTCATATGTATATTATATGATGATTTAAGTTACAGGCACGTTTTGTGCTTTTTAACACTGAAGTTGTAAGATAAAATATCTCATTTGGGACAAATATAAGGCTGATATTTTATCCTGATGCAGTACAACTCAAGCCAAAATGTAATTAATATTCGATGTACTAAATATCTATATGCACATAGATTTGGTAAACATAAATTTATGAAAAAAAAGAAAAAAGTGTTGAATAGGCCAACGGTGGGGTTTTCTAGACCGGTTCGTGGTGATAACACGTGACAAGTAGAAATTAAAATGACTGAAAATGCATTGAAACTCTTTCAACTTTTGACAAGTAGAAATTAAAATGACTGAAAATGCATTGAAACTCTTTCAACTTTACACAAGCATACACACTTCACATACACGCATGCAATAGTTGTTTATTATTATTGGTGCTTCATTATCAGTAATGATTATTATCCATTTGAAAACAGTTTTTGCTGCTTGTAAATCATGATACATTTTTTCAGCATTCTTTGTATGGAAAGTTGAAAAAAAAAACTGCATTTATTAAAAAAAAAATTGTGACATTGTAGATTATGGTCACTTTTAATCAGTTTGTTAAATTAATTTTCAATTATTTTTTTACATTTAAATAAAACACTTATGGTTTTCACAAAAAAGGGCATATTAGAATGATTTCTAAAGGATTATGAAGAAAAAGTGGAAACAAATTATAAACCTAATGACCTTGACATGCATCATGTCTAAAGGAATTCTTTTTGTTTTATATTTTTGTCACCTGAAAACAGCCTCATAGGTTTATCAAAGTCATTTTATATGAATTAATGTATCTTTAACTTAACTGATCCTGACAAAGAAATTGTTACTTCACTGACCCTTATAACGGTCATTTTAGACTAGATTATGGGAAACAAATGATTGATTGACTGGAGTAATGAAGTGATTAATTGACACTCCCCTCTTTTTGCCTATACTGGCTGCAGGACACAGGGGGCCGCTCACTGTCACTGGGGTCTGTGCATCAGCTGAGAGCAGAGGGAAGATGCCCATTAAATGAAAATGCATTTAACATGCAGGAGATTATGGATTATGTTACCTGTCCATCAGGTACTGCATTAGCATATGAGTGCTCACTGTGTCAAGAGCCCTTCTGCCTCATGAATATGCATTAGAACTGATATTATGCCAGTTGGCTTATAAGATGGTGAATGAGTTTAATGCTGTGTTTTTTCTCTTAGGTTTGCAGCATTAAAGCCAAGACGAAGTGAAACTTTGAATGGCACGCCAAGAAAATAACAAACACAGAGGATTGTAAGGTATGACACTTCAAACTATCTTAAATGCACCTTTAGTGCAAATGGTTTAGCAACATGGACTAAAGTGAATGTCAAGACGTTAACGCAGTAAAGATGTGCAATGATGACTACAAATCGCTGAGGTCACGACCAGTGAAACTACATAATAGCATGTATTACCTGAGCACATGTTGTCTATGCTGGTTTGTGTGCTTTAAGGTCTGAGGGCTCTATTTTTGACTCCTTTTCTCTTGCCAGTGTTTCCACAGGCAAAACTATAAATCCAGATGGTGTGGTGGATCAGCCTGAGCCGATGAAAAATAACAGTGGAGGGCAGAAAAGCCTGAAAAAAAATGTATGAAGGTGGTGATAGAATAAGAATTTCACACCTACAGTACCTACCACACAAGGCTTTCACACACTGGGTAGGGTAGCGAAAGCCCAGATGAACACAATGTACCATTTTAGTATACGTGACATTAGGTGTCATGTTATTGTCTAATGCTCTCCATTGTAATATTTCTCCCTGTTTCATAATAAACATTCAACAAGGTATCCAAACTGCAGTCGAGTTTGTTTAAAGTGCCCCTATTATGGATTTTTGAAAATTACCTTTCATGCAGTGTGTAACACGGCTCTAAGTGAATGAAAATATTCTGGCAAGTTTTAAATCTGAAAGTGCACCGTGTATAAAGTTATTGTCTCTCAAAAGAAAGAGTCAACTCTGAATCATTGAAACGTTTTTAAAACGAATCCCAAGCCGTTTCATTTTGACGTCAACATGAAACATTAGCATATTGCCCGCCCACTTGTTGGGACTTTTCGCGTTGGTCGGAATGAAAATGCAAATTCATTCTTTGCCACTAGGTGCCGCTTTTGGCGCGGTAAAATAGCGGTTTCCATGGTAACACTACACACAGGAGCGCTGCGCTCACAAACGCTGCTTTATCAGGCATTACAGGCAAGATGAAATGAAAATGAGACCAATCGGACCAATCACAGCAGATTAGCAAAGGAGGGGTTTGGAAAAATGAATGTTTGGGAGTAGTTGAGCAAATAGGTAAAAATAAATGCATATTATAAGACAATGAAAGTATTTTTTGACCTTGCCTGCATCTTAGTAATTACAGCTAATTGTTTAATGATTGTAAGAAAATGAATTTATAAAATTAAAAAAAATATATGCTACTGTTAAATTTGGGGTCACTCTATTTAAAAAAAATAATACATTAATACTTTCGTACACCAAGACATTTCATCAAAAGTGACAATAAACGTAATTTTACAAAAGTTTTCCATTTCGAGTAAATAGTTTTTCTAAACTTTCTATTGAGCAAAGGATTCCTGAAAAAAAAAATCAGTTTTATCTTGTATTGCAAAAATATTAAGCAGAACAACTGTTTTCAACATTGATAAGAAATGTTTCTTGAGCAAATCAGCATATTAGAACGACTTCTGAGATCATGCGACACTGAAGACTGGAGTAATGATGCTGAAAATTCAGCTTTGCATCACAGAAATACATTTTTAAATATATTACAGAAGTTTTCCATTTCGAGTAAATAGTTTTTCTGAACTTTCTATTGAGCAAAGGATTCCTGAAAAAAAAAAATCTGTTTTATCTTGTATTGCAAAAATATTAAGCAGAACAACTGTTTTCAACATTGATAAGAAATGTTTCTTGAGCAAATCAGCATATTAGAACGACTTCTGAGATCATGCGACACTGAAGACTGGAGTAATGATGCTGAAAATTCAGCTTTGCATCACAGAAATACATTTTTAAATATATTACAGTAGGAAACCTTTAAACTGAACTATTTCACAAAATTACTGTTTTCACTGTATTTTTGATTAAATAAATACAGCATTGGTGAGCATAAGAGTCTAAAAATCTAACTGAACTCAAACGTTTCTATGCTTTTGACCAATTATAAATGCATTTAATAAAGTTTTTTTTTTAATTATTTGTAACATTTTTAATCTGTCTATTGGGGGTGGTGAAAAAGATCTTTTCATAATAACGGATCAAACATCTGCAGATATGGTGGGCGGCACCTATCCAGAACAAAAATTAAATTTTGCTTTTAGAAAATGAAGTTTCTTATTTTTATATCACCAAACCAACCCCCAACTATAAAGTATTTATACATTATGAAGGTATTTATTGTGTTGCCTTCATGCTAATTTAATCTGAATAACAAAATACAGTAATGAGTAAACACAGTAGAGAATAATATTAAATACAGAAGCACTAAAAGTCATTACAGTAATGAATTTTGGGAGAAATTGTGATTATGTAACAATCCAAAAATAGGCTTCATCTTGCAATGCAGATATTGTTTTTCTTTAGTTGTGGTGAAGTGTGACCTGCACGCGATCTCGTGCAATTTACTCCTGGCCGTGATTATTCCTGCCCAGCAGGACAGATGTGTTTATTTGCAGAGCCTCTAAATTGTTACTGACAAGAGTTGTGAAACTATTAAACTAATGGAAAGTCCAAAGGGTGTCTGCGTTTTCATTAATGTTATTAATGTGCTTCTGTAACCATAAACACAAGTGCTCTTTACTCAGAAGAATGTAAGCGTCATATGCAAATTACAGTATTCATTTCATAATGCTCTTAGAGAAACACTTCGTTATGTAACCCAAGAAAAAAAGTTGATCTCATTTCTTTTATACTGACATACGTTCCACCTGGGAGTGAACAAGGTCTATGAACAAGAGACCAAAACAAATCTGGAACCGAAACAAACAACAGTTACATGAAAGAAAAACCAACCCAGGCTTATGTAAACCGGATTACTTCATTTTTTCCTCCTGTCCTTTCTCATAGTGGCGATATTCAGGCTTCAGCTCCCAGGTGCTCTTATGAGGCCCTCGGGAATTGTACACGCCGATCTCCCTAAGAACCTAATTCTAGAGGACGAGCAGATCGACAGGGTGACAAAATGTAATCATACATCCAACTTTTAACCACGTCTCCCTAAAAACTTTGTGAAAAGTGCTAAATTCTTTATTTAGCCTCGCTAGTGTAATCTATCCTCTAAATGGCAAGCCCACTGTGGGAAGTAACAATTATCTTACTCAGTTCTGTTTAGTTTCTTTTCAGTTGTGACTCATGTAACTCCAGTCACATTTATATTTCTCCAATCCTTCAGGGAGACAGAGGCAGCAGTCAAGTGGCAATTATTCATAGAATCATCAAGAGCTCACTTAACTATGACAATATAATCAACACCAAGCCCATGCAGAATACTGTATTTGCAATTTCTTGTTACTTGGTTGAATCTTTCTCGTGTATGATTTCTGATAAAAGCTGAGAAGATTGATTCAAAATTGCTGTTAGCAGAACAAACATTTTTGAACAAAAGTTTGGATGAACTCTTGTGAACTTAATTCTATTGAAAGTCCACTTGTACTATGAACCTCAAATCTGAATTCTTACCTCATCATTCAAATGTGTAATTACAAATAATTTAAATACAATACATTAAAGTTTCAAAATAAATTACATTAAAGTATATTTTAGTTTACCATAAAAGCATGGCAGTGCACTTTATTTAAAAGACAATGGCAGTAATTATGAAATTACATGTACTTGAGTCCTACTTAAAGTGGGACGAAAAGGACTTTGAAGTTTAGCTAATTGCATTTAATATAAACTTAAACTATAATACACTTTCATTTAATTGCAAATAACATCTGCAAACATAACATTCAGTTCTCACTTAAGTATATTATTTTAAAGTATATAATTTCCATAATAACTACTCTTTTTAAAAGTATACTAAAGTGTACTTTTTTTCACGAGGGGAGGCACAAGCTCTCGTTTATATAATGGCTCAGAGTTTTCACTTTCCACTGCCTTGAGCTGGACAACTAACCACCGGTTGCTTTGTGATGTCCACCAGGTCTCTGATGTTGTAGTACTGGTGCTTCTCAAAGGCAGAGAAGAGCATTTCCAGAACCTTCTGCTTGTCAGCTCTTGCACGCTTACCTTCCTCTTTCTTTCTCTTCTCATATTCTAGCTGAAGAGAAGCATAAGAAAACCAGAGCATTTATTTGTTCGCTCACATTATTATATCACACACACACTTACATTATGGCTGTGGTTGGACACAGGTTTGTAATTTGTTGTGATGGCTTTCTCAAGCTTCTGGGAAAAACGAAGAGGTTTGGTGGATTCTTCAATCTGTAGCCTGTAAATAAAACACATCTCTAGATGCATTTGATAAGACTGAAGTATTGTGATCAAACTTTGACTTACTTTTTTAGTTTCATGTAGCTCTCACTGACTGCACTCAGCGCGCTGCACAACCATGCCTTCAAGAGCCAGCTTGTCTTAAAAACAAAAGACATTCTACTTGATCTATTTCAGAGAAAGGACAGTTCATCCAAAAAATGTATTTGTCATCATGTACACACCTGGTGAGTTTTCATATTTATTTCTCAATTAATTATTCCCTTTTTAAAGGAGTAGTTCACCCAAAAAAATTTAATTTGCTGAAAATGTACTCACCCTCAGGTCATCCAAGATGTAGATGAGTTTGTTTCTTCATCAGAACAGATTTGGAGAAATGTAGCATTACATCACTTGCTCACCAATGGATCCTCTGCAGTGAACGGGTGCTGTCAGAATGAGAGTCCAAACAGCTGATAAAAACATCACAATAATTCACACCACTCCAGTCCATCAATTAATATTTTGAAGTGAAAAGCTGTTGAAACAAATCCATCATTTAAATTCAAACCATTGCTTACGGCTAAAATATGAGTAATCTATACATAATATTGCTGCAGTTAAAAAGGTCATCTTGTCTGAATCAAGAGAGAAATATGCAGAGATCAAGCTCCTTTTACAAGTGAAAACAATCCAAAACAGTTGTAAACAAACATGTTGGTAGATTTTGATGTGAGAGGACAACACAGGATGGACTTTTTCACTGGAGGAATGGACTCATATTTTGTCCAGAAGCAACAGTTCAGAGTTAAAATGCCTTACTGATGGATTTGTTTCTTACAAACATGCAGCGTTTCTCTGGACAAGGCATTCACTGATGGACTGGAGCGGTGTGGATTACTTGTGGATTATTGTGATGTTTTTATCAGCTGTTTGGACTCTCATTCTGACGGCACCCATTCACTGCAGAGGATCCATTGGTGAGCAAGTGATGTAATGCCACATTTCTCCAAATCTGTTCTGATGAAGAAACAAACTCATCTACAGTACATTTTGGATGACTTGAGGGCGAGTAAATTTCCAGCAAATTAAAAATTGTAGGTGAACTATTCCTTTAACATTGCACAGCCTTTAACATGCACTATGTGTCATGCATTACACACTCACAGAAGGATAAGCAAACCTCATTAAAAATATCTGAATTTTGCGAGCACAACTAATGG